TGTCAGCATTTTGGAAAACCCTAACTTAACTCTGGTGCCGTGTCACATATAGAAATTTTTTGATATTTGCAACCATAGTAAAACAAAGACTTATATTTTTGATATTTATTTTATATATTTAAATGCCATTTAACAAAGAAAAATCAACCAAAAAAATGAGTTCGCGTGTCACCTCTGACACGCGTGTCATAGGTTCGCCATCACTGTCCTAGAGGGCTGGTTTCATGTGTGGGTAGGGAGCAAAGTTGAAAACAAGCCCCCATCTTGTACCTTGGACCACCTATGTAACATTTTCCTTTGATTTTGTTTTTAAGTAAATACTCTTAAATATTGTTACGGCCGAAGGTGACCCTGAGTTGGGGGGTGAAAGGATTGAGAAAAGACAGACAAGAGAATGAAAGCTGGGTCTCGGTGGGACACTGCTCCCTGATGAGGAGACAGCGCCAGCGCCCACAAGCCATGTCTTTATTTTATAGCAGATGCCATGAGGCAAAGTAGGGGTGTGATCAAGTTGTTTACAGCATTCTCGTGAGTTTCAACCCTACTCAACTACATGCACCTGAAATCTATCACAAGGCATGTGGGGCTACGTGTTCAGACCATAGGTTCAAGCTTACAACCACAGCCGTTGGCTATGATTGTGCTGGGAGGGCCCTGCCCTCCAGCTGGGACTTGCACGTAGCAGTGAGAGGACCCTGTCCTTTGATTAGTCCGAGGCTTGAACCTGGCCAAAACACTGTAGCCACACCCCACAAAATGTGTACAAAAGTGCCCACATCATAAGTATACACCTCAATGAATCTTCACAAAGTGAACCCACCCATGTGACTCCCACCCAAATCAGGAAATAGAGTATTATTGGTGTTCCCAAAGTGCCTTGTGACCCCACTCAGTCATTACTCCCCAGAGGTGACCACTGTCTTTATTTCCATCACCAAAGATTCCTTTTCCTTGTAACTGAACATTCTATAAATGTAATTGTATATTATGTCCTCTTTTTTGTTTTTAACTATTATATGTTAGTTACTTTTATACTTGCTTACATTGATAGCTTTCTGTAGCTAGCTTTATAGCTACAGATGTAAATTATATGGGCACCAAATCTCCTTACACTAACAACATAGATTTACAGAACATACTTATGGAATACTCCTGTAACAGAGAAAAACCAACTTTGTTTATGAGAACCGTTCATGTTGTTGCCTATAGCATAGTTTGTTCATTTTCATTGCCAAATGGTGTTCCGTTGTCTGACTATACCACAGGTTTCCATTCTACAGTGATGGACCTTCTGGTTTGGGGTTATGCATAGCAATTCCATGAACATTTGTATACATATCATTTGGTAAATATTTGTGTACATTCGAATAGTCATTTACCTAGGAGTAGAGTGGCTGCGTCATTGGACATATGCATATATTCAGCTTTTATAGATACTACCAAGTACTGTACAATGTTGTTGTAGCCGTTGATAATTCCCACCAGTGGGGTATGGGTGTTCTAGGTGTCAGCCTATGGTACCTTGAACAAGTAGGCAAAAGGTCTGTGTCTTTTTTAGTTTTATTTTTTTTAATATGTTTTTATTGATTTCAGAGATGGCAAGAGAGAAGAGACACATCAATGATGAGAGAAAATCATTGATCAGCTGCCTCCCGCATACATCCCATGGGGGATCGAGCCCACAACCCGGGCATGTACCCTGACTAGGATTCGAACCATGACCTCCTGGTTCATAGGTCGATGCTCAACCACTTACCCACACCGGCTGGGCAGTCTATGTTTATTTTTAATAACTTTATCTCTAACAACCTTTGAATTCTGAAAGTGCCTTAAATCCAATGTCCACTATAAAATGGCAGCCAGGTAGGACAGAGAAGAATGATTCGGAATCAGCAAGAATCAGACTCAAATTTTAGTTCAGTCTCTTACCTTCTGTGTGACCCTGGGAAAACCATGTCCTTTCTCTGAGCCTTCGTTTCCTCATCTGTAAAATAAGGTTAACACCCATCTTGCTTTCAGAGTTGTCATAAGACTAAATGAGCACTGCGACTGATAGGTCTCTAGGGAGTCCATTGTGGAAGCCGTTTCATTATTCAGTCTGTCCCCAACATGGTTCACGGAGGTTCAGCTGTTTCTCATTACTTCAGAGCTTGAAACCACAGGAAGTTAAGGAGGGTAATGATTTCATGTTTTGCTTAATATTTGGGGGGGGGGGGGCTGAAAACCCTGTCTTTTTCAAGGGCCTCTGTTTCCTTTTGAATATTTTATTCCTAAAGGAAGTATTTTTTCTATGTTTGTGTTATTGATCTGAATCACATATGCCAGTCTAGCTTGGGGATTGGTCCCTCCAAGTAGCAGTGGCTGTGCAACATTGAGCTTCAAGCAGGTATCTGGGTGTGTGACATAGGTCTTTGCTGTCCAGTGGCTGCTTCAGGACCACCTGCCTCTGTGTCTTTCAGAATCCTCCCTGGAAAAGGAAAGGGAGACACCCAGTCCCATCGACCCCAGCTGTGTGGAGGTGGATGTGAACTTCAATCCTGACCCTGCCGACCTGGTCCTCTCCAGTGTGCCAGGCGGGGAGCTCTTCAACCCTCGGAAGCACAAGTTTGCAGAAGAGGACCTGAAGCCCCAGCCTATGATCAAAAAGGCCAAGAAGGTCTTTGTGCCCGATGAACAGAAGGTAATCTGGTGTCTGTATAAGGGAAGGTACAGAATTGGTTCAAGAGCTGAGGGCTGCACTTCCTCACGTTTGATTTTATCTGGAGGTTCCTCCCTCCTATGGACACCATTTAGAAAGGCATGAGTTCAGAGCATAGGGCCATACCCTTCCTGCAGCAGCTGGTAGAAAGAAAGGGAGTCAAGTCGAATTTGGCCCCAGCGTGACTCCCTGTGGCTTCTCTGTTTCCTGACTGGCTGGTGGCTGTGTTGATGTTCTTGCTTCCCTGGCTGTAGCCCAGCCTTCGGGCAAGAGCTCACTCGGCCACAGGAATTGGGCTGAACAAGCCCTTGCTTTGAAGGACAAAAGACAGTTGTATTGTTACCACCCCAGGGACGAGCAAACAGCTTTCAAGCTGATGGTTTTATAGGAGTTGGGTGGGCAGGGAGAGGAGGATGCTGTAGTTTTTCCATCCTCTCCTATGGAAAACTCACAGGAAGGGCTTTTCATCTAAGCTTTGGAGTTAGGCAGAGCTGGTTCCAGACCCCACTGTGCCACCTAGAACTACCTGGGCCTCAGGTTCCTCATTTGTAAAATGGGAACAACTGTACCTGCCTCTCAGGCGGTTACTGAGGCTTTCATCATAATGATGATGAAAATGTAAACCTGGATGTGATCCTTACTGTAATGAGCACTTTGCACACATTAACTTGTTTAATCCTCAAACAACTCTATGAGGTAGTTACTGTTATCCCCAGTGTAAAGATGAGGAACCTGAGACATGGAGAGGTGAAGGAACTCACATGGTCCCACTGCTGGTGAGGGACAGAGCCGAGACTTGCACTCAGGAGACTGGACCTTAGCCATAACCCAGATGCCTGGGCGGCAGGTGTGGACAGTGCTTCATGTTGGAGCAGCACAGGGCAGGCTCCCAGCAAGCGGAGGCCCCTTCCTCCACCGCTTCCTCCCGGACACTTTGTTTCTCATCCTGGCAAAGGGGAGGGCCCCTTGCTGTCCTTGGCACATGCATCTTCTTCCCTGGGTCCCCGCTTCCGTTCTGACTGCGCCAGAGGAGTGATAAGAGGAATCTGGGGTATGGCTTGCTGGCAGGAGGAGAGAGGCTCTTGAACCAATGCTGTACTTTCCCCTTGTGGGGAAAGAGGAAAGACTAACAGAGGACACTTCCCCACAGGATGAAAAGTACTGGACAAGACGCAAGAAGAACAATGTGGCTGCCAAACGGTCCCGGGACGCACGGCGCCTGAAGGAGAACCAGATCACCATCCGGGCGGCCTTTCTGGAGAAGGAGAACACGGCCCTGCGGACGGAGGTGGCTGAGCTACGCAAGGAGGTGGGCAAGTGCAAGACCATCGTGTCCAAGTATGAGACCAAGTACGGGCCCTTGTAACTCATGCCTCGCCCAGGCCGCGCTGCCTACACCCCATCCTCTGCCTGAGGGCTCCCTGAAACCCCACACACATGTGGAGACTTAGGACTCCTCGAGGGCCAATGGCGGCGCACCTGCTCCAGGAGTGGTCACGTTCAAGCTTCATTATCACATGGCCAGCGCACGTGGCAACTTCCCTAGGGGGCCAGCCTCCTCACTGGTGAAGCCGCCAGGGAATCGACGTAGACGGGTGCATCAGCCTTAGTTTCTATTCTTGGATGTCCCAACTGAATCAGAAGGGGGCCTCTGGAGGACAGCTCTCCTTTCCCAGGGGCTCAGGCTGCCCTGACTCTCCCTCGGTCTCCACAGAACGAGTCCATCGTTGTCACGTCTTCTCAGGTAGCAGGGTGTGTTTCCAGGTGGACTGTCCGTGGTCCACCTCACCCTCCCCAGAAAGTTTGAGAGAAGCATCCATTTCCATCTCCCTCAGCGGTAGAAAGACACGCCTGCTCCTCCATAGTGTCTGCATGGGTACCAGCCCACCAGAGCCGGGTCTCTGCAGCCGGGGATGGGGTTTGGGTCTGGAGCCTGCAGCAGAAGTGCACCCAACCATTCTTAGCTCCCACACCCCTTTACTCTGTGGCTCCGAGGCCTGGAAGCCAGGGAGGAGGCGGTGGCAGTCGGCTGTCTATGTTTTGTCTGCTGTGAAGGAGACTCCCAGGTTGGCCAGACTCTGAGCCCTAATCACAGTGCTGAGAGGGGCTTTTGCATCTCCTCTTCTCCAGGTCACTTGTGGACACCACCTGAATCTTGTTTGTCCTACTAGACTGGGCCTCTAGGCCTGTTTCTCTTCACCCAGTGATCAATCTCAGATCTTGGATTTAAAAGGAAAACCCCCCTCATCTATGAAGCTTAATTTTCTGGAGACAGGATGCACCTTCTGCATGGTGTTCAGAAAACCAGCCTCCACAGCCCCTTACACTGCGGGCAGGGAGCTGGGCCATGTGTCTCCATTTTGTCTTGCTCTGTTCTCCGGTGTGGGCCAGGCCAGAGGAAAGAAGAAGAGGGCTTCCCAGTTCTTGATTCAAGATCCCTCCCTGTGCAAGCTGCCTAGAGCCACCTGCTGGGCAGGACAGCCGGCCACGGTCACAGCACAACTCATGGAACAGCCAGTTCTCGGGACATTTATCCACTAGAGTCCCCTCAGCTGGGTCCCTGAAGATGTGGGCCACCCACACAAGCCTGGCTGTGGTATGTGGAGGGGTCCTTGCAGCTGTGGCTCTACCTCACAGCTGTTTTCTCTTGTGTCTGGCTGGACTCGTCCTATTGCTCCGCCCGGGAGATTCGTTGAGGAAATCTGTGGAACGCTCTGTTCCTTGTGGCCAGCCGGAGCACCTGCAGATAGGTGCATTTATTGGCTCAGGGCCAGGCAGCCTGTGGTTAAGAGGGGTCAGAGGTGACGGGTACACTTTGTCATGTTTTCCACTGGCTTTATTTAAAGTGGTAGCTCCAAGACCCGGGCTCTGACCCCTACAGACTTTATATAACATGTTAAGACCCGGGGACGCCATCCACTGGCCGTGGACCGCACCCAGGGGAACGCCATGGTCCTCTGGGGACCTACATACCCACCTCTCCTGGGGACTTGACAAGGGTGCCTGAGGCCAAGGGAGGTCACTGACTCCCTCCAGGCCCCTGACTTTTATTTTGTGGTTCTATAAAAACCATGTTCACACTTTTCACTCTATTGTAACCACAACAGGGCAGTTGCATCCGGCATGTCAGTGTCCTGCCCTGGGCAGCTCGCCCGCCCGGGCACTCGCCCTCTGGTCTGGCGACCCACCAAGAGGGCAGTTCTCATTTTGTTATTAGTAGAAGAGCTTCCAGCGTAAAAGCTCTTCATTTTCTTTGGCCAGAAAGTGTATGGTTTGTGTTTTGTTTTGTTTTTTTTAAAGAATGGAGACTTAATCTCTGAATGGTATCCATGTTCTGATCCCCATGGGTGGGGTAATGGCCTGGCATCTCCTCTTTGTCCCGCCTTCTGCCTGTTCAGCCCTCCCCTCCTTCCCCCCAGGCAGTGGGCGGCTGGTTCCTTCCCAAAGTGCTTACTTGGAAAGAATGTGGCTGCTGGCCTCTTCTAGAAGAGCCCCTTGGAGCCAGGGCCTAGCAGAGACAGGAAGGAGCTCTCCATGAAGGTGGACATGTGGGGAAAGGAGTGCTCAGGGAAGCGTGTCTCCTTCCCAGGCCCGCGAATCGAGTCCTTTCAGGGGAGGGTTGGTGCCTGCTAGTTTCCATCATGGAATTGGGAGTCTCCTTGACTCCCTCCTGGCCCCTCTCCATCTTGGGGCTGACAGCCAAAGACTGAGGCTCCTTTGCTCAAATCTTTGACATCTCCTAAAAAGCACTGGAGGCCGGAGGAGCCAAAGTAAATGGCTTTCCGGGGTTTGTGATGGGCTGGGAAGCACCATCCCTTCCTAAGCGCCCTGTCCTCCGTTTCCTGGCAGCTTTGTTGCAACCTCAGAACAGACAAATCATGAATGAGCTAGAATGTTGTAAGAATGTAATAAATGTATATCTAGATACAGAAATATATATATTGAGAGAGCTTTCACAATGGGCAGCAGCCTGTGGAGGACCTGGGTAACTGTTACCCTTGGCCAAAGGTAGGTAGGGGTTTGCTTGTCTGGATCCTGAGGTTGGAGAAGGCACTGAGCAGTGAACCTTGACTGGGTAAGTGTCACCCTGCTGAGCGGCTGCTGGGGCGGCTGCAGTCCTCCATCCTGAGGCTGGGTGGCAGGCCTGGGAGCCTGCAGAAGAGGGCCCCATTGTGCTGGGCAGCTCCCTACCCAGGCCCTGCGAGCTCTGCTTCACGTAACACAAAGGGCCAAGAGCTCCTTTTAACATCTGTTAATTAAGTGCAATAAATTTTTCTAGAAAATGGCAAAGATGACTTCCAGGTGGATGTTGCTATTTTGTGGTGTTGGGGATGCCAGATCACCACTTGGTTTTATTTTTCTAAGTGCATGTGATGTGACAGAGTGTGTGGGGCTCTGCGTCCTCCCTTGGGAGCTGGGATTCCAGCGAGCCCCTTTTTCTTACCTGTGTTGGGGGAAGGAGGCAAGGAGAAAATTCCTTCTTCCCAGCTGGCAACGGCAGAAGCAGACCACAGCCCGTTGGCCTTAGGTGCGTATGTGCGTGCGAGTGTGTCACTGCTGGTGGGCCGGAGTGATGTGGCAGGGAGGGAAGCCGGGAATGTAACCTTTTCAAAGCAAAATTAAATATTTTGAGATGAGAATTGTGGGGCTGTCTTTTCTGTCCTCCTCCCTCTGTGTCTCTTCTGTGTGCACGTTGGCCTAGGACAGTGGTTCTCAACCTCTAGCCCTTTAAATACAGTTTCTCATGTTGTGACCTAACCATAAAATTATTTTCGTTGCTACTTCATAACTGTAATGTTGCTACTGTTATGAATCGTAATGTAAATATCTGATATGCAGGATGGTCTTAGGCGACCCCTGTGAGAGGGTCGTTCGACCGTCAAAGGGGTCGCGACCCACAGGTTGAGAACCGCTTGCCTAGGAGTTTGAGGGTTATCCCTGGCACCCCTGCATCACTAGCCAGGCACCCTTGGCCAAGTCACCTAACCACTCTGTGCCTCAGTTTCCTCATCTGCCAGGTGGAAGTAATTCCTGCTTACCTCACAGTTTACCGAGAAAGGACAACATCAGACCAAAAGCAGTTTGAACAGTAAAGTGCTGTACAACAGGTAGAAAGATAGGGACCTGCTCATGAAAAGTGTTCCCAAACGGAACAATTGATGGCAACCACGAAAAACACACACACAGAAACACGAACACTAGAAGAGTTGGGTCTTGGTGAGATTCTGGAGGTTTTCTCCTCTTGCCCGATTTCTGTCTGTGGCCATGTGAACTTCACAATTAAAAAACAAAATATGCGAGTGCAGCCACTTGCAGGGCTCCTGCGCTGTTGTTACTGATTCACTCAGCATTGGTGTCCCCAGGTCCCCTGCTAAGGGCTGTCCAGCCCCCCTCCCCCCACACAGGCTTTCATTAAGGCAGTGGTTCTCAACCTTCCTAATGCCGCTACCCTTTAATTCAGTTCCTCATGTTGTGACCCCCAACCATAAAATTATTTTCGTTGCTACTTCATAACTAATTTTGCTACTGTTATGAATCGTAATGTAAATATCTGATATGCAGGATGTATTTTCATTGTTCACGACTCACAGGTTGAGAACCGCTGCATTAAGGGGTGATGCCATAGAGTGCATCACCTGTGGCAGTGCCCCTGCAAGTCCCCCTCCCCTCTTCCAGCTCCACCATCTTGTCATGCTTCTCGCTCTGTTGCCTCGAGTGTGGAGCCCAAGTGTCTTCTTCCCCAGTGAGATCTGGAAGGGCTGCCTTCTTACAGCCAAGGCTGCTCTGT